ACATATACACCTATATATACATAAAAGTCAATTAACCTTTAACTAAGGTAAAAGAAATGCAGTAAAAGCAATAATCACAATAACAGTGTATCCCTTTCTAAAAATTATATGCAACTCTTTATTATCTTGAGGCAACATATTAAATAATATTATGACAATATATGCAAGTGATTCCTTGAATGTCGATGTTTTATGTTTTGAAATAGATAATAAATGTCTCCTTTTCAAAGAAACTTAATTTTCAGTAGGTATAATTATAAGTGATGTCATGCTATTTCTGTGTTCCTTTTTGAAACTTTCTAAATTTGATCAGAGAAACATGTTTCATCCCCCTCCCAAGGCTATATTAGTCCCCTGTATTCTCTTTCCTTCTCTCCTGTTTATATATCTATATACATATATATTTGCTTATCCCACTATTGCTATCTAGTTACATACAAATATTTAGATAAATTACAGACTAGTTGCTGATATAACAAAAGGCGAAGTTCAACTCAGTTAGCACAAGTGCTACTGAGTTATTCTTACTGGACAAAACTTTCCTTAAAGGACGAACTTCAGTAAGTAAAAGCATTGGTTGGCCTCTTTCCATAGGAAGGCTTTTCAATACAGTTGAGTCCAGAAATGCATTCATGGCTCAGTCTAGCATCACTGATGAGACCTACGGCGGATCAAAACAGTCTCTCTAGTTTCAGTCAGTTATCTTATAGTAAAGGCTGCAGATAAAGAGAGAGGATGAATATCGTTCGGCGATCAATATCCTTTATCGTTGATATTCATAGGTTGGGTCTTCTCTCGGTCCAATAGATGATGTCTTCATAGTGGGATATGTCATAACGGTTGCTTAGAGTATTCTAAAAAAATGTAAGTATTTTTTGTCAAAGAATGCTTTGTGTTTTTTAAAGAATGATCAATATAAAAGTTGAGACAAGAATCCATTTCAGCATATAGTAGCAGCATTCAATAGTACCAATGCATTCAATAGAGACCAATGGATATTCACTTTGTTTTGGACATAAATGCAATTGATACCATGTTTTATTAATAACTACAGAAGCAATCAATAAACTAGGTCTATCCAATATCAAGACATGCGTGAAATTATATTAAATTAAGACCTGGAGTTGAAATTGATATTAATTCTCGAAAGATTTTTTTTAGTATTATCTCATCTACACATAGGTTCTTTATAATAATAAGTAATCTATTTTTGATTCTCAAGAGTGAATTTTGAGCACTATTAGATGATTTATATCACAAACTCTCATCATCTGCTTCTCAAATATTGAAAGTATTTATTTCTATTTAATCGTTACCTACAATTTCTCAAGTATTTAAAGTAAACACTTTAACCAAATGTGTTAAAGCTCAAGATCTCAGGTTAGTTGATTGGTGAATTCTTGAATGGTGTAACAAGTCCTTTGAAGTAGCAATTTTATCACAAACTTAATGGTGAAAACCGTATATCAATATCTATCATCGTTTCTGAGTTAAATGTGCATTTTCTGTAACTTTTTTCCTGTCTAAAATTTCTTGTTTCTATGAAAACATTTCCAAAACACATTTTTACATAGAATTCAATGGCGTGAAACATTTATTTTTTCAAACGAGATCAATAGGTAATGATGCAAAACAATTTTTTATGAGACACCCTGTATATAACTGCATATTTCAATAGAGCTTAAAATTGAGCAAAAATGCCCAATTGACTTTTTGATATATTTTTGATTTTTTGTAGTTTTTATCATTCATCCATTTATTTTGAATATTTTATTTATTTTTTGTGTGTTTGTATATATTTGACAATCATTTAATGTTAATCCATTTATTAATTCAATTTTTTCAAATTCATAATATGTTTGCTTCACAATAATTTTAACATTTCAAATCCTTTTTTAGACAATGAAAGCCCAAATTTGTAAAATTCACTAAGAAACATTGTCAACCATTTTCAAACAAAAGTTGCAAGAGATATAAAAAAATGTAATTACCAATTTCGGCTGAACATGATTGGCAAGAAGTGAAATGTTACATATGACGCATTTTTGTATATTCCTGCTATCTTTTTTTATATATAGTTTTTCGTAGGTGTAAACTTTTAAAAACGCTAGTAATTCGTTAATACAATTATTCTCATTGTTAGCCAGAGCACCCTGATAAATTGAATAATTCCTGTTGGTTAACAATTTTTTGTCGTATTGGGCAAGTTTTTAAATCTATCAAAAAATGTCTGATAAATTGACTCAAACAATTGAAACAAGATAATGTTACAAATGGACGAATAAATGAATTCATCAGATCAATCGTTTGACTCGCAGATGAAATTAAAAACTTGCCCACAACGATCAAGTTGGTGGTAATTTCATCTCTGTTTTTATGCACATATGAAATTGATCCTATATATACAGACTGACAACATGGTTATACTTGTTTTGACTGAAGAATTGCATTTTCAGATCTGCATAACAACGAATTTAAAGTAGGAAGATCCCAAAGATGTGATGTAGTTATAGAAAGAATGAACATAAATCAAAATATAAAGAATATTTTCAGTAAAGAGCACTTTGTAATTTACAAAGACCCTGACAATGCCTTGGCTTTTATAAGAGATCTCAGCAAATCTGGTACTTATCTTAATGGACATCTGATTGGAAAAAATAATACGAATGTTTTGCAAAATGATGACGTGATTGCTGTTGGTTTAAATAAACGAAAAGGTAATTTATTCAAATGAATGTCAAACTTTCTTTTCATATATTTTTCAGTTTTTGTATACAAATGCATGTATTCGCAAGATATGAATTATTTACCATTCGAATTGAAACAAAAGTATGAACCTTCTACACTACTTGGACGTGGTGCAGCTGGGGAAGTGAGACTTGCTCTGGAAAAGGTAAAATAATTCTAGGTCGAGTTTAGTTTTGAACAATCAACAATTCCAGTTTACTTGTAAAATGGTGGCCATCAAAAAAATTATGAAGTCTAGAAGTACATTATCGCAAATACACAAGCTAACTCATCCCAGTAAAATCAAGACTGAAATCAGCATTCTGCAAACCCTAAAGCATGTAAGTACATTTCTAAGCTAATTTATTTTAGACGAGTACTGAAACAATCTGAATAGAAGAAAGTCATAGTAGCACCAATTTTGAACAAAATAAACTCTGCACACGCAGAAGTGTTAGATACAACTAACCATTGAAGACACACTACTCTTGAAGGACAGGAGTATAAAGTCAAATTCATAAATATTGAAGAAAAAGAACTTTAATAAATGTCAATTTCAAAGTTGAATTGAGTCCGGCCAATTTCTGACATACTCCTACCAGAAGTCTCAGTTTTAGTAGATGAGACCTGACTACAGTAGAATGAACTTTGGGAAGGATTTCATTCAAGTTCAAAGTTGCATCATTTGAGTTCTGGTAAATATAATCTTTCTATCGGTTTCGATAAACTTCCTGATGCTGTCTTCATATTGTGAACATGTCTTCTCTAATGGCTTACTTAACATATGTTTCATAATTCTAATGAGTATCTCTCTTGTCAACCGCCCCACCAGTCCTCTATCGTTGGATTATAGCAATCAAGTTTTTCCATTAGTTTCTCAGCATTATTGCTTTATATGGTGAGTCTTTCTCTTCTTGTCATCTAAAAGAACAATTCGATACAGCCCGAAACCGGTCTGCAACTGTGTTCCAGTAATTGAAAATCTATTGCAGCAGTTGTATCGCCAACAGCAGATGCATGAATAACTTCAGTGAAGAAACCTGCACTGACACCTGTCGGCGGAATTGAGACTGGCCTGAACGAATTGTTCTTTTAGATGATTTGATTTATAGCCAGTCTTCAATTATGCCCACTGACTGTATGTGAGAAATTTCTCTTCTTGCACATAATTTTCTAAAATCTCCTAGAAAACTATCTGTTGGCAGAGAATTGACCAGTTCCAGATAATCAAAATAGATAGGATGGCGGTGCAAGTGAATAAACAGATCCAAACCTTTTCTGTATTTAAAAAAAAAAAGTCCAGCAAAATCTATGCCTGTTAATTTGAATACCTCTATATCACACGGCTTTCTGATAGTGAAACAGGATAATATTCATGTTTCTTGGAAATGAACCCTTTCAGTGTCACTTTTTTTTCAGGTTTGAAGGCCGATCTCCGATGGAGATTACCTCAGGATAAATAAACCTTTGAAGTACATAGCTAGCCACTCGAGCGAGCGAAACGTCAGGAAAAACCATTTTGTCAACCTTTTGTATTCTGCATATTTGAAATCATATTTCTAATCGTTTTTGTAGCATTCAAAATCCAAGATCGCTCTTTCAGTAAACAAAGTAATCCTTATATTCTTACATGACATTTGATGATATGGAAATTGTGTATTAATAGTGTAACTCTTTCCTTTCAATTATCTTTATACTTAAGTAAACCTTCTTCATTTCAAAAGGTATATAATGAAATCTATTTTTTATACTATGGAGTCGTTCTTTCTTTATCTTTATTGTGTTTCTCAATATGCTCCTCCAGTAGTGACACACTTGTGACTTGATGCCGGGGTCACGTCACCTGGAAAGTACCAAGTACCTGCCACTATCTTTTCAGTTTTTAACTCATCGTTGGTCGACGAGCTATTCAATTTGTTTACATTTTCAGCCGTGTGTTATAAATATGGAAGACATTGTTGAAACTCCTGAAGAGGTATACATAGTTCTGGATTATATGAAAGGAGGTGAATTGACCAACAGAATTTTGTCCAATACCCCATTGAGTGAATCCAATGTAAAATTTCTATTTTATCAAATGGTTTTAGCGGTGCAATTCCTTCACGGTAAAGGTATAACGCATCGGGATTTGAAGGTAGGTAAAAAAATAGCCCAATATCAAATTAGGAATATATTGTCTGTCAAATGTAAAAATATTTCATAGGCTTTAGTCATAAAAATTTTAATAGAAGTCAATTTCAACCTTCTGTCAGCTATCAGACTCGAAGGCTTCTACTTGAGTAGTTACTCTAGTCGATCCTACCTTAAATATGAAGGTGTAGATATTTGAGTAAGAAATAATTCAAGAATTATTGATCTTTGAAATGTGGGCCACTTCTTATGCATTTAATAACTCCAAACACAATTTAATGAATTGTTACAGGTCTCCGTCGAAGGAATAAAATTTATTTTTCACCAAAATTTGTGATGTACTTGACCATCTGTACAAACCAGCTATGTAATTATTTATTTATGCTGACTACAACTTTGATCGATATATCTATAGTAATCTCAAAAATGTGTGTTCTGTGATGTCTTATTTTAATCTTTTGCCAAGTAGTGGGTTGGCCTAAAAGACTCGGTAATACAAATTGTACTATAATTGATCAAATTTCCTCAAGCAATTGCTATGTTCTGGATAGTTTGATATCAGATCACTGAACGGTCTATTTCGAAATCAGTGACTTCGACATGAAAAAAGGTACAGACTCCATGAAACAAGAAAATGTTTTAATGAAAGATATCAAACTAATAAAAAGATACCAAAATAGTATCGATGTTCAACAACCATTTTTTGAAACTCTGTTGGCATTAATGAGTAAAATTCTGGTTAAATTCTATTAAATACTGGTGATTCACATCTGAATGATAACAACGCTTCCACAATAACCCTATGTTTCAACTGAATGTTGGACATGCTTAGTTACCGGAACGAAGAATAAAAAAATCTCAGTGTCCCAGTATATTTTGAAAAAGATCCTACCTTTTATAATCGAACCCATTCTATTTCTTGTCAACCTTTCTTTGTCTGGAGGGTTGCTAGTCATCTTGAAGATGAGAAAAATTGTTTCAATTCAAAAAATGAATTGTATAAGTTTAGACCAATAACTGTTCCACAAAGTTCAGCAAACATTTTTGAATATTCTTTCTTAGATTGTGTCATGATTTTCATAAATAAACATATATAAATATCCTGAGTCAAGTGCAACATGGTTTTCGAACTAGGCAAATCAATATAAGTTGCATTGATAAGCTTTGTAAATAATTTGGTGCGAGTGATTGACAGGGCCGAGTGTCCTGCTACAGTTTGCGATTTGAGAAGGGCATTCGATTGCGTGAGTCACTCAAAGATGTTGAATATTTTAAAGTCGTACGAATTGAGGGAAAATCGAATGACTGGATTTCTTCCTTTTTGAAAGATCGTTCACAATGTATTGAAGATCACATCACAAAAGTTACATCTAAAGGAGATCTATATTAGGACCTATTTTATTTAACCGATACATTAATAACTTAGGAACTGAGATTGTCTATTCCAAATATTTGGCATAAGCTGATATTTTTTTACTTGTGTCAGCTGGGAGTACAAATAAATGTGAATAGGTTTCACTTGCAGCTTCAATTTTTTCTGTAACCACGATCTCTTTCTTGATACTCATAAAACTCAAATCATTCGTTTTCATAATGTTCAACATAAAATTGAATTTGTGAAATCGAGTATAGATAATATAAACTTGCCAGAGATAAGTAATAATGTAAAATTTCTTGGCATATTCACATGGACGAGCACCTGAACTGGCATTCACACTGTGGAAGTTCATTTTCCAAAATGAATTCTGCTCAGTATATGTGTAGGAATCTGAGAACAATATTAAACATCACTCAACTTTCTACCGTTTATTTTGCACAAGTTGAATCTGGGTTAAGGTAGGAATCTGCTTGTGGGGGAACTCTTCTATGCCAAAACAAGTTTTGATAGCTCAAAATCTATATTACGTTGTATTTTTATTATTCATAAAAGAGCATCTTGTAGAAATATATTCACTACTTTTCGTATTTTAACTGTAACTTGTCTTTTTGTTTACGAATTATCAGTCTATATATTCAGTTACACAAGCAATTTCAAATCGAACAAAGACATAGGTAATATAAATGCTCATAAAAAAATTATTCCCGCGCCCTACTACATCAAATCTAGTAAGAACCTCAATAAATTCAAGTTTATTCTAAAGTCTTATATACTTGAAAATTGTTCTCATGCTGTTCGAGATTTTTTTTTATCAAAGTATACGTTGTATTGTTTTTTTATTGTATGTGATTGCATTTTATTATGTGTAATATTAATTGCTATATGTAGTTTTTTTTTGTTAAATTGTTTCTCTTGACTGCACGTATTTTTGTCTTATAAAGTTTGTTTTTCGACTTTTAACAAAACACATCTTCGTTTATGTATATTAGCACACTTTGAGAACTATAATGCATTAACATAACACTTTTTTTCCAGCCTGAAAACGTTCTATTATTTTCAGAAGAAATAGAGACTCTGGTTAAAGTATCAGATTTTGGACTAAGTAAAGTAACTGAAGGTGATGACATGATGACAACCATTTGCGGTACCATGAACTATATAGCTCCAGAAATACTTGACAATCGTATCCCTGAATATAATAAACAGGTTGATGTATGGAGCTTAGGGGTTATATTATTTTACATGCTTTCCAAAAGACTCCCTTTCCAGTAACATCTCGATTATACATGTTGTTATTATTATTATTGAATCATTGTCTTTTAGGAGTTCTGATAGAACAGTTCATCAGAAACTGATTATATCTGGTTGTTATATGATGGAAAAAGAAAGTTGGGACGGCATATCAGCTAGCGCAAAAGATCTTGTTGAAAAAATGCTTAATGTCAAACCGCAAAAAAGAATCTGTATTCAAGATGTACTGAAGCACTCATGGCTTGAAAGTGTGAGTATTTTTCTTTAAACTACATATATAGCTTGTCCACAAAGTAAAATTCAATACATCTGGTCGGATATCAGCAGGTTGACTAGAGATTTTCACTCTTGAAACCATTGCTATTGCGAAAGTTGGTTTGATTTCAAAGACGAGCGCAAGTGTAGCCGTCATATTGAAATGACGGTAATTCAAAACATTTGAACTGTTTTAATCAACAATGACTGGGTAAGGAATATTATCTCTACAAACAAATAAATTATTGGAAAAAACCATTGATGGTGCTTCGCTTGTTTATAATTCAGTTGAGGCTAATAATTGTGAACAATTAAAAAAGGTGATTGAAACATCATGGGCGTCCGCAAAAAGGAAAAAAAGTGAGCTGATTGAGAGGATAGATATCAGCATTTGTTTACTATCTAAAAACATATAAAAAAATAGTATTTACAGTTCTATTCTTATTAATAATGTCAATTTTTTTTATGTAATTGAAAATATATTTCAGTTGACAAGAGTATCGTTTATGGGACTAATAAATGAATCAAGCCATTAATATTTTGAGGCTGTACATATGACATTAATTAATTAGACAAATATGTAAATACTGAATTGAATATGTTTAGTAATTTTTATTAAAGGGAAATATTTAATACAACATAATATATATGAAATTTACAGTCAAAAATGCAATAAGGAATAATGTACGTATGTTGAAATTCCTGATATTTGGACTTTGATTATTCCTTGGTTATGATTACATGTTGAAAGGTATCTGTTCGTTGATAGATGACATTCAGAAAAGCAAATTGAAATAATTTAATGTCAATTTCTACATGGAACATCATTTCACAAAAGACACAATATTTCACTTATTAAATTCACCAATGCCTCGACCTTATCGTGCTTTTCTCTTGCGATCTTCATTTTCCTGTGCTGAAATAATCATTGTCAAATAACTACCATCTTATGCACATCCATTTGCATCCTGTCCTTATTTTACTCTATAAGCTTCAAAAAATCTTAACTACAAATCACAATATATTTCCACGAAGTTTCTTTTATTTTTTAAACAATGATTATAACTTGAATTTTATGTGTTTATTGTGATACTTTACATATAGCATCAGTTCAATACATAAGTGATGTAGATCATGAATGAAACATTACACTGGAACTAAAAACTGGCTTAATGAGAGGGCTGTTTGTTCAAAATATATGATATGATATATGATACGCTGCGGCGTCCAGGGCGAGCGTTGTCATTCACATCTTCTCGACCTTCTGTGAAAAGCTTGTACCACTTGTAAACATTTTTCTGACTCGGAGTACAATCACCGTGTTACATTGTCAACATTTCAAGTGTTTTGGACCACTCAATTCCATTTGTTTCACACAATTTAATGCCAATTCTTTGATAAATATTTTTCGATAGCAGACGATCGCTGAACACGTAAACCACTTCCAACTTTCAAGCCTCTCACCAACAAACTAAACATGCTAAACAGCTGAAACTGTTAACACATGTTAGAGACGAGTGTACCAACGTAAAAAAATCGTCAATCGGATTTACGGAGGCTGCGAAATTTGAACATACACCTTATTTTTTTCAAAATATATGTTTTTTCTAATGGTAACCTATATTTTTTATCGTTTTTTCGGTTTCTACATAGAAAATAAAAGACACTTTATGACTATCTTCACTTCGAAAATATTGATGGTTTTCGAGATATCTAGCATGACAGGTTTTTTTTCCAATATTCGTCACTCAGAATATTAGAAATTATAAAGTTTTGCCAAGTCCAGTTGAAATTTTTTTTTGGTCGAATATTCTACATTGGTAACTCTCTCAAACGATATATCTGAAATCGACCTGTGATATACAGGGTATGAAAAACCGCTTGCCAAATATTGTAAATGAAAATTTGCAAAATCTTCCTTAGATTAAATGGAACACCCTGTATATTATTGATCCATAAGAAGCGCCAACGAAACCTCTACAAATTTCATTAAGTATTCCCTATGGCTAAGTTCAATAGTTTTTCTTAAATGAGCATTTCTTTCGAAAAATGGTCATTTTTTCAAAGCGAAATCCATTTGACGACTGATAAGAATATACAAAAAATACCCTTTCCTTAAAATATCGCCCATTCCTAAAATTACCTGTTGCTAGATAAACAAGTTGCGAATTACACCACAAAATGGACGTTCTTGAATAGTTACAATAATTTCAAAAATCTCGGAATTTGTGCCATATTCTTTCGGTCTAAAACAACCTTTCAGCGAATGAAATATTTATTGGAAATCAAGTAGTCTGGCAAATGACAGAACAAAATATTTGGCTGCAAATGAATATTGAAATTTT